TATATATATATATACGTATATATATATATAACATTTGGAGTAGGTATACACTCAGAAGTATCACAATAAGTGAGTTGCCTTCAATAGAAGTATAAACAATATAAACAAATGAAAGATGGTTTAGACACAGTTATGATGGCAATGCATTCATCTTGGCGGTAAAACGCAGGGCTGCCTGCAGTGCGTTTGCCTTCAGATGACAGCAGCAGAGCGGCAATCCTCTAACCACATGATTTTTGTAGTAAAGCGCGTAGCCGTCTTGCGCTCGGGGGAATTTCCCGTCCACGTGTCTGAATACACGACGGAGAATGAAGGCGGGATATAAACAAAAGCAGCCATTGGTCGAAGCCCCCCGCGTGCATATCCCCCCTCCTCCTCCGCTAGAGGAGAGCTATTAAAGCTGACGTCAAATGGACTTGTAGCAGTTTTTCTCGCAGAATGGAAGTGAACGTGGAAGTAAAAGGGATTAAATTCGCTTAATCTTGGCAGGATATTGAACTCTTCTCGTTTATAAGCTCCATTACTCTGTGCTGGTGAGATAGTTGATAAAAAGAAGCCCGGCTCTGCGGTGAGTACATTAGAAAGAAGTAGAAACCCTGCATATTCCTTCAGCCAGCCGGTCATTACGCACGCTTAGGAAGACAAGAAAAAACAAACAAACCTCAGTCATTGTTAAGATAACGGCAGCTGATTTGTTTTGGTCTGAATTCGGTGCTTCTCTGTTTACAGCAGAGTTTTATTTAACGCGGACTGTCATAGTTTCAGTCAAACCCGCTGACCGGCTTTACGCGTCGGCCGGCGAATGAGCTCCAAGACGCAAAACATTTGAAACGTGCAGTAGAGCATTTTCCACTTTCTGTACTCAACGTTAATGAATATATCCCTTTAATACGTTCAAAATATAATTTGAGACCTATTTCTTTATTTTAAATCATATAATAAAAAAATCTAATTTCATCCTGATAACAGTCAGATCACGCTTTGTAACTAAACCAGCAGTTTCAGCTTGTAGTTAACACTTTTAATAACACGATTTATTTTATTATTGTTTTTTTTTTTTAAAGAAAAAGTTAAAACTGTTTTAATATGCATTTTTCTTGTAACAGCAAAGTTTATTTATTTATTTATTTACAGTATCGGTCTTACTGTGTACAGTGTTACGTAAATGTGAGGCAGGGTTATGTGAGGCTGTGTTGTGTATAAACTCTTTCAATAACTGCTTACAACCAGCAGCCAGCCTATTGTGTCTGCAGCAGGGGGAGCCACTGCCTGACAAAAACACGCTGATCTCTGCCTGACCAGTGGAGCAAAACAACAACACTTTATCTGGAAGTGTTTGTTTTTAATCTATTCTTTTTTTTTCTTTACTAAGCTCATGTTCTTAATCATGTAAAGAAACATAAAAGATGAAGCTATTCTCTAACAGCAGACAAACAGGGTTCTGCTTATGTTTGGTTGAAGAAATTAAAACCCCCTGATGTTTTTGTGGAGACCAGTTTAGGGAAAGTGGCTGAGGATTTTCCTCCAGGACTGTCATTATGCTTTTGCTGTGGACCCTAATTTGGAAGTGTGGTAGTATTGTAACCCAGCATTACAACTAGATGGAGATGGTGGATTCGGGTTATGCTCAAGAGGCAGATTGAATTTTGAACATATTTTGATAACTCTTTGACCCACTTTAAGGTTCACGGTTGACTTGCAGCATATCATTGACTTTGGAGAGATTGCCAAGTTTTCATTGGGACTCTTGCCCCACTCTTGCGGTAAGGTGGACTTAATTTATTCTGATGAGGGTTTGTTTTTTTTACCTCATTTTTGCTGCTGCATGCTCAAATTTCAGATATGTGCAGTGGTTTTTATAATGCTGGATCATAGGGAAATTATTTATAGGGCCGTTAATTAAGAAGCCTAGCAAGAGAGTGAGACAGAGAGCCAAACTCCTTTTTGTGAAACCGTGCCACAACTGAATCAGATAACCACAGTCAACTGTGGTTACATCAGTGAGTTGAACAGAGCCATTTGTTTGAATTAGCGCTGAGCCACAAATGATGGCAACACGTTTGTTCACTCCCTAACCTATTATACTGGGGTTTCTATTGATCTATTCACAAGACAAATAGGTTTTCTATAAAAATGTATGTTAATTAGGAGAGGTTTGTGATATAGACAATAAGGTTCCCCTCCCTGGGCGACACAGCAAGTGGGGGGCGCTATCAGCCACTCAGTTTGGCCCCAAATAATGACCTCTGTTGGTTATGAGTAGAGTTGGGTGGTAACTAGTTACATTTACTCAGTTGCATATACTTGAGTAAAATTTTTAAGCTTGTTTTCTAACAAATATGCACCATTAAGAGACTCATTGTTTTCTTTTTTGGACTCAAGGCTCATTGGTTAAGTGTTTTTTTCCATCTGCTGAGTCTTTCGAGTTATTTCGAGGATGACTGAAAATACAGTAAACAGTTTACTTTAGTGTTAGCTATTCTTATATATTGTTACTACAGATTTTTGTGGGTTTAATCTGTTGTTGTGATCCTTCATAGTAAGAAGATCACTTACCTGGTATCTGAGAAGCATTTTCACCAAATACATTTTTACTCTTGTTTGATTTCTTTGAAGGCAACTTTTTATCTTTATTTGAGTAAAAAATATTATGAAGTAGTCCTACTCTTACCTAACTACAACTCTACCCATCTCTGGTTATGAGCTGTTTATGCAGAACGGGCAACAAGTGCTTTGTGAGCATAAGAGCTTTATGGACCATTTGATCAACTTTAGCTCTAAATCTGAACTACCTGAAGTGTTTAAAGCTGAGAAGAGATTCTTAGAAAAACTGTTTCATTTTTATTTTTTATTTTATGTGTTTTCCATGTTGCTTTGGTGTTGGGCCCGCTTTAGATTAGATTTAGAACTTCTGAACAGTGAGCTTAAACTTGTTAAATTATACTGCACTAATTAGAGGTTCTCTAAAGAAAAATGTGTTGTTAATAAAAAAAATGGTTTTAAAGATATTGATATAGAATACATATCTATATTTACCTCTTTAGATGATAAACAAGCAAGGGGAATGGATTTTTCCCCTGCTCCCCCTGGTCTGAGATAAT